TACAACACTGGCAAAGGTTTTAGTTTTAATTTCGCATCAAAGGACTGCTTGATTTTGAATCATAATTTTCTACAACTGTTACACTAACTGGGTGCTGAAGTTTTAAAAGTTTTTTTAGAGCTATCATGTATATAGATTCCTGCCTGTCAGTGTGGCTCGAATCTATATATTCCCCGATAAAACATAAAGTCTCATTCTATAAATGACAACAATTCACAATGTCGAGCTATGCAATGCATGTGAGCTTTTGTCCCTTTTTTCAGTGCTGACATTATTATCAACAAGAAACGATGGCAACAGACGGGGAACAAAATGGTTAGTAAATACCATACACCATATCAATTTCAACCCATTCCAGGGATATATTGAATGGCCAATTTGGAAAATAAATGAGAACTAATCGTAGTCGTATGTTGTGGGAGAGGGGGATGAAATCAGGGATCAGCGTACCCTTAAGGGTGTCTAAAAGGTTTTAGATCAAAATATCTGGTATATTTTAAGGAATCTTTCTCAGATAATAGCATATTATTACAGCTGGTATCCTTAAGAGTTAAAAATCTTCTGTAGACACGCCCACCTTTGAAAGGGTCGGATATCTTGTACGATTATCCCCGGGGTTAAGAATGAGACCATGATTCTTTTCGGGTTTGTCCCATAGGGACCTTTTACGCGCGACTTGACGTACAAGACAGAATGGATCGTACCATTAAATGGCTCTACGACTAATATGCGTGCGGCCCATATGACTTGTCTTCGACATGTTGGAAGTCGCACGCGTCAAGTCGAATCGTGTTAATCACTCCTAACAGATACAAGGAGTAATGATCAGTTTTTGTCACTTTGTATTTTGCTATGTGCAGRTCAGGCAGATAACCTTGAACACCGCAAACCTGACGAACAAAGCGAACCTCCAAGTTTGCAGAGTTTAACATTGGCATCATCCCAATCTAGTAACGACAGCCAGGTACAAGCCATAACCAAAGAACAAGGTAAATATTGAAAACATCTGGTATTAGTGTGTGGGAAAGAGGAGAGATCGGCGAATGTCAGTAAACAAACAAACGATGAAAATAATAATTACAGTGTCYCTATTCAAATCCAACATCTGATCAAAATAACTTTCAATTTTTATTTTATCTTTTTATCAGTGTATTTTAGTCATATGTACGACGGGGATTGTTCTGTWGTTCAAGAGTTGGCGTTGAGACTTGATAAGAAGGATATGACCATGAAGGATGTTACATCATTGGCAGATATCCTTGAAGCTCCCGAAATCATTAAATCAAAATGCAGATCAAACTACAACCACAGCCCTTCATCGGACCTCATTAATTTGCCTGAAGTTTCAAYRAGWAMAATGAAGGATTTTGTTGCCAAACTGGGAAACATTGAAAGGAAAGATGTAATTGMTATAATAAATGCAGCARAAATTCCAGGTGAATTGATCAGTTAATCTTTCAGAACACGGAATGATGATTATAGTTTATCTTCACAGATTTSAAAATGCCGCTGCTAGTTGACGCAAAATGAGCAAATTTATCATTATCTCAGTAGTGGTATCTTGATTCACAATTTTACTCTAATAAATGTCCATGTTAAACTTAAGTGCCAATTAGCCACCCTTAAAGATTCTGGTCTGAAGTTAGTGATGTTGCATTCTGTTTTTCGTTATCTTAAAGAGACTGCACAAGTTGAAATTCTGCTGCTGAAATATCAYRAAGTCTTWGARCGTCTTACAAGCATGCTTGATCAGCCTGGTACTTTMAACTGGAAGCGTCTTGGCAGAGAGTACAAAATCGATTCCACGCAGTTAGATATTTTAGAAAAGGGAATAAACTCGGCTGAGCGCTTCTTGATTGAGTATGCATACAAAGCAGTACCAAGCGAAGATCTAAAGTTAAGTACCCTTGTCTTGCACATGTCGGCACTTGGAAGAAAAAAGGAAATAGAAGACCTTTTGGAGAACATCAAAGCGAGTGAGTATAAACAATACGATCCAACTAACAAAATAATGTACCATTTTGTCTGGATTTTAAAATAAATCCATTATACAAAGGAAGGCGAAGCAATAAGAGCCCCGAGCTCTTCACGATTGTTTCCATTTAGCAATTCAATCAGTATAGCCTGCCATATGCTGGCGGGCCAAAGCAGTTTTGGTTCGGCTGCACGTAGCAGGCTTATTCAATGCTATTGCTGTCTTATTTGATGTCATTATCATGTTAAGATGACCATTCCCAATCAATGAAGAAAGTTTTCGCACCAAACACGGACAACATGGAGGAACTTTGTAAACTTCTTAACAAAGGCACCAAAGGTTGGCAGCATTTGGCAGAAAAGTGGAATTTAGATTGTGCGAGGTAAGATGGATTCTTCTTGATTTGCATTGTTAATAATAATGATCTGCCAAAGCACACATGAAAAGGTGGTTTAGCGCAGCCTCAGTAATTTTTCCTATCTAATTTAAGGTATTATTGGTTCATCGCTGACACGAATGCCAGCGCAACAGAGATCTTGTTGGAATGGCTTATGATTAAGAAACCGGAGTTTACAGTTGCTCAGCTCGACAAAAGTTTGCAAGATATTGGAAGACAAGATGCCCGTGACATTTTGGACGAAAAATTTAAAGAATGCATTGCAAAACTCCTCTTGTAGACTAAAAAGATTGCATGGAAATAGGAAAATAGTTTTGATTATTATTGCACAATCACATTACACGCGTCTAATTAAGGTGTTTAGATCGTAATAAATAGCGTTTCGCGCGTATTTTTAAACTCCAATTACGTCGCAAATTTCGATTCAATTGCACTCAAATTTTCACAGAAGTAACAGTGATTATCGATAATTCTTGTAGATAAATTAATTTGCCAAAAAGCGAAGGTATTTGGATAAACGGTGCAAAATAAAAACAACTTCATTTTTCTTCAAAGTTAATTTTCTCGAAACTCATCGCAGAGATTGTAATAAAATTTTCAGAATCTTTTTTTAATAACATAATTGATATACTGACGAAGTTTCAATGAAATCTTAACCTAAAATTTCGAGTTATTTGAGCAAAATGATGTACATTCGATGATGTACATATGTAACCAAAATTAGCCACCTCAGTAAGAAAGCATCAATCCCTGAAACCATTGATCAAGATACATTCTTGTTATTTATAATAGGAAAATTAAGATTGTTGGTGCAAATGAAGAAGAAATTCTAGTGTTTTTCATATCAAACCAATATAGATAAATTACATCATCGTTGATTTTAGCACTATGATATTTCATAAATACACGCTCAACATGAATATAATTATATCTAAAAATACACTTGTACTACTACTTCTTAAAATAACAATTATATTTAAACAAAATTAAAATGGTTGGGAAATTTTTATGTAATAAATAAGATGAACCATTTTAGTATACCGTGGTCAACTATAGATTTAATTTCTTTTTCCAAAAATCTGTGGCTGAACATGATATAATTATGCATCATGACTGAATTGATGTAAAAGCAACAGCAAATTCTGTCGATTCGTCGTTTTGTTTGTATCGTTATTAGGTTGAATTGCTGGCTTCTCATCACGCACTAATCAATATTACTCATTTTTTTTTATTCATGGTGTACCATGAAATATTTTTGAATGCACAAAAAATTCATTGATAGTCCTCACCCAATCATAAATCAGTTCATATTTTGAATATATTTTTTTATTGGCTTATAAAAATGCGTCTAATATAAATGAAATCTAACCGTTTGGCAACGCACGTACCATCCGGGGAACGATTTACAAAAAAATATTCACAATAAAAGGATTTTCTGTACGTCAGAATTGTATGTAGCCAAATGATGGTTTGCGTGACCTATTATGGATATAGCAATCGTGATAAGCAAAGCAAAGGAAGTAAGACCTGATCCCAAACTAAAGGGCTGGGCGTCCGAATATGAACATTCAACCCATGGTAATATTACTAAGATATCTTTGGGTAATACCAAAATATTTTCTAATTCTTATGTACTATTTCCTTGATTTCAAATGCCTCTTTAAGCCTTTGTTCTAGTGCTGTGTTAGTCAAGATTCAACTCGGTGGTAGATATGACACAAGAGATGGTACAAGCGTTTCCTTTTTTTAATACAATTCTTGCTCTGACTGAGRAATCGCCCCCACGTCAATTCAAGTCTATTTAAACCAGCACAGATGGCTTGTAAACCAATTCTCCTTGGACTTCAAGAAAGGTGTGGACTTCAACAATTCAAAGGTACGTRCATATAACGGCATTATACACCTGTAGCGTGGGACCGCCTTGAATGCTTCATAAGATTACAAGATAGTTTGRGYACTAAAATATACCCTTCTTTAAAAAGTTGCTTTTCACAGATTTTCGAAGCAAATTAGTATTGATCTTAGGTTTCAAAGTATATATATACGGAGTAAAATGACTTTTATTTTCATCATTTAATTCTTCGTTTTCAACAAGTTACGTCACAGCGGCCACCGGTCTTTTATCTTTTAATTCTCATGGGGATGGTTGAAAACGATAAATTGGATGATATAAAGGCCGAAATAAACGGACTCAAATTCGTTTCATTTCATGTTTCATTTCAAATCTCGTAATTTGCTACATCATGCATCTCTCTTTAAATTCAGGTTACCATGGAAATCGTCCGTGTACATGTGCTATTGATATTACTAGTTGGTGTCGTTAGCCAACCGTTACAGACTGGTAACCAATCAACGACGACATTTAGTGAGAATGGACTGGGCACCATACAGCACCAAGTCTTCAGCAGATCAAAACGAAGTTCAAATCCTATATTTTTAATTGAATACTTGAAAAATCAAAATAACTGCAGTCAACCTAAGGACATTTATTGCGGACATACATATAATTGTAAGGGACTTAAGGAACTTGCCTGCAAAGGCCAATTGTCTCGCAAATGTAATGGACAAACAAACTGTCGTCCGTCAAAATATAAAGTGGCTACGTTGTTCAATGGAAAAAAAGTCTGGCGAACTGTTAGGTGCAGTTGTAGGAAGACTAATGTGTGCTATGGACCCTAGATAGCGGCGAGCAACTGGTATATATCTTCTTATTTATCAATATTTATCGAATATTATCAATTAACAATTAGACTACTATTATAACAAAGTGACAACCTTCTCAACTATAAAATGTAATACATTTATAATAATCTATTATCATAATGATAATTTTATTGCCGTCMAATTGTAATACACACTCGCCATGCGAAAATGAGTTATCAATAAAAGGCTATGAAAGAATAACCATGTATATGTGCCATGTGGGATATTATGGGATATTAACATGAGTAGATCATGTTTTAGGTACACTACTGGYAWCCCTAWYTGTGTCAAGATCGCTTGCCAGAAATAAATGCCCAATAAATTTAAATCTGAGATGGGAACATTTTCTGCATAATWTCATTTAAAAATAGCATTTGTGTATTTAAGTTTCAGATCGTTCAAGTTTGTTTATAAGACTACACGTGGTAAATGTTTCRCTTTATCAAATTAWAGTCATTTGYAAGAACGTCCAAGCWGTTACGTATGACATAACGTTAGGACGGAYAACATACGRAGTAGCACGAGAAGTAAGCCGAGTTCGAGACATAATGTGAAAGAATGTTAATTTCCTTTTCTATCGTTTCATTTTATTCATTGTTGGTCTAAAGACATTTAAACTATGTTACTCTCGACAAGAATATGTTACTCTTTACGACAAGAATATTCGAGATTTTCGACAGAATTCCGAAGTAATTTGGATTTATGCCGAACCAGATTTACGTCACTCAAGCTGAGTATACAGATCATATAAAATTATTTTAATTTAAAAACTTCATTTATATTATGCTATTATTCAATTCTCATTTTAATTCTTTTTTGACGTTCAGTCCATCATTCATCGATCACTGCGATCGTTTTGGTCAGCAGGACTGCCTATAAACCATCTATCGTGTCGCGTTCTTATAGGTCAGTAACAACCAATCAGCGAAGCGTTTCTTTATTTCTCACGTGAGAYTTTGARCCGCTAGCACTGGCTACCTTATCTTTGATATCATCCAATRAGATTTCACTTTGACTTGTGACGTAGATGACGACATGAGCAGGCTTAGAAAAAAGTCAAGGTCATACYTGTGTGACAACTAGCGTGACAAGGTAAGAAATCTTTGCAAAGTACTGGGTGATAGATAAAACATGAATTTAGTGGYGYRTCATGCAATATGGGATATCTAAGATAGCTTTACATCAATGCCGTATTTCAGGACGYGATGCCATGAAAAGGTCATGTGACTGATCTCAAAAAAAGAATGCTTTCAACAAAATTCCAATATTTTCAAGGATACACTAAACACTTTGTCAATAGCTGATCTATGTGTRCTTATCTTTCCCTTTGCCATTGGTTTGACATTGACACCMACCCACTGCAAGAATACAAACTTGACAGTRGATATCCCATCAACCACATCGGTCTATAAGCACAAATATGAAGAATTGCATGAACAGAAGAAAAATAAATTGTAAGGGACAAGTGAAGAAATGAAATAAAGCACCAAAGAAAAAATGAACAAATGAAAAGAATAATAATGGATATATGAAAAAAACTCTTCCTAAAAGATTTAATGAAATTAACAAGAGACAAGGGACAAGTGAATGAATAAAAGAAATAGTGAAACTGTTGAAGCTGTGGCTCCCATCTTAAGATCTCTTTATGATAAGAGTGTTTTAGAATTAATCAGTGATACGATACCACTAAGTTTAGAAAACTTGATTCTGACCCAAACTTAAGACGGGAGGAACAGCTTCAACGTTTTCTTCGTAAACTTAAGAAAAAAGGCRTCTTTGAAGATAAAAATAGTAAAATGAAATGGATGAAATGCATGCTGCCTAGGGATTTACACCTATTTCAAAAAATGTTGTTGTGGCCAGGACACAGTCCACGGTCTTGAGCCTGAAAAGAATATCGGGATTGCCATATAAATTCAATTTTAGTTATTTAAAATACTGCGATTTAGAGTTCTGGTTTGCTCTGTGTTAGCCTCAAAACCAAGTAACATATTCTTTTGTTGCGTTGATAGCTCAAGAAAACGCATAGAATTTTAAAAGAGAGACTATAGAATTGATTTGAAATCTCACACTTTTATTCAGCACAATTAGGAATATTTTGCGCATAAATGAGGCTAACACAGGGCATTAGAGAATTCAAAACTGGATTATTCTCGGTCTCGTAGCGAATAAAGATTTGAAACTCATTGACGGTTTGAAAGGGTGGAATATTTTTCAAGGAAAATGTCTCAAGGCGAGACATGCCCACTATAGTATATTAATAGTGCTTGCCGGCATTGAATTCAAACCACAAAATATTTTGAATATATTAATTACGCATGGAAACCCCGAGATTCTTTGCAGGCTCAAGACTGTGGACTGTGTCCTTGGGACGACAACGTTTTTTGAAATAGGTGTAGAAGAAAACACTTTTCACTCACCAGTCTTAACAACACATATGCAACTCTATCATCTTCAAGATGTGCTTTGATTTCATCAAGACCGYTAGATCCATGACCTCGAAGAATAACAGGATTCTTGGGATTGTTACTCTCATACTCGGCTAGACACCTAATACATCACACAAATAATATCAATGCAGTACTTTCTGAAATAAACTAATATGATATCTGCTTCACTTTATGTGACTTCTTTTATTATTGAATTATTCTCATGATAAAATATAAACTAACCAGTCAGTTGAACTCTCATCACTGCGCACATCAGAAATCGCTTGGACAACGCTGTCATCTATCTTAACTGTAACTGTAATTAAGAATTAAAGTTTTTTACTATCATTTTTTATCATAATAGTAAAAGCACATGACAAGAAACAATTTCARTCATGATGAATGATATCTGCCAATGAAACATGATGTCATTGAACTGAAAATCGTCATTGGATAGTTTTATGTTAGTCTCATTTATGCAGCCATCTCTGTGTTGTCAGTGTTGGGGGAGGGGGGAGGGAGGGGATGGAGGGGGGAGGCTCGTCAAGGAGGCTAACACTCACCTGCTTCTGGTGCTTTGACTCCCGTCATTTGTTTACCAGTTCTGACAATATTACTAGTACTGGTAAAACCACGATCCTACATAACAAAATATACCTTGTTACTAATAATATCAAACTTGACACTACTGGTATGTAGAACCAACCAAATTACCCTGGTCCCAGAGGTTTTCTTTTCTCTTCTTTTCTAGATGTTTTTTATCGTATTTTTGTCTTTGTTTTTTATATTTCTTGCGACGTTCTTTTCTAGATGTTTTTTATCGTATTTTTGTCTTTGTTTTTTATATTTAACGTCGCAAGAAGAAAAAAAACAAAATAATAACCATTATTACCATTCTTGTAGCAGCCTCAGATTTCTCCATGACTTTACTTTTAGTTCCACTTGATAAAACAATGAAGTAAAGTAAGTGACATTAATAGATAACAACAGAGTATTAATAGATACTAATTAAGAGCAGGCACCACGGAGCATAATTTTTATTGGGGTGGCTAAATCGGGATGGGACAATTTTCAAGAAGCGCCAGATGAATTAGACAAATGTTTTCAAATTTGCTTACAAATTATTGGCCTCCGCAGTGCATGAACAGTATGATATGATATTAGTGAAACACTGCATTGTGCAAAGGCCTAGAATGCTTCCCCTTAAAGCCATGTTCAGGTTTCCATTCCTTTTACTTACTATATATATCAAGACAAGAATGGACGGTAGGACCATGTAAGGTTTGTAATAACCCATGCAGCAATCCAGCTACCTTTCCGATAGCAATAGATTATGTCTAGATGTTGTAAACACTACTTACGATGTTTCGTTGATCAACTTCATGATGGCTTCCTCTGTCAGGTCCTCTTTTGAAGATGTTTCCACACTACAGTGACTTTGCTGATTACAAAGTGAACAACATTATTACTAGTCCCATTTTGTTTAACCATTCAGAAACTAAAGAAAAAAAATGGAATTATGGGACTGTTTGAGGTACAGATGACTTGAGATATATCTGATGCAAAATGATTAGAGATGCTGTCAATCAAGCTACCTTTTATAGCTCACTAATGCTAAAGCTACCATAGCTGTTTGATTGAAARATTGATTGTGAACTGTCTATTACTTGACCTTTTTATAATTTGGTCAAAAGTTGTGTGTTTAATAGGAAAAGTGATAATATTAMATAATACATGTTATGCATAAACGTACCCCAAACTTGTCTACAACGGCACCATGTACTATTCCATAKCGTCCTTTCTTTGTAAAAGGAACCTTACTGCCTATCCAGTGGATATACACAAACTTTACATTGGTTGACAAGTCAAATTTCTCTGTAAGTCTAACTGTGGAATAAAATAGAGAATCAAACGAATAATCCTTTTGAAATTAGTCTTTGAGCTGTCTTTTAGCTTGGTGAATACAAAGATAATGATTAAGGAAAGCCAAAATCAATTTAATAATGAGGAACATGAATACCATCTGATCTACACACCCAATGCATACATGACTTCATCGTCTTTCAGGTTGGTTTCAAGTTCAGCAAGTCCYCCACTACCAGATGCCCTGTATTCTATTGCATTGACRTTGCCGCAGACATGACCAGCCAATGCCCTACATACAAGATATAATGCCTSTTATATATACTCACTATAATAACTAAGGGTTTAGGTGAATTGTCATTAATTGCAAATGTACAAATCTCTATATTAATGTGAAACAATGAACACAGACCAAGCTGGTGATCYAGTATCAAATAAAGCCGATTGGGCCTCCTGTGCTTTTTATTGTCTTAATGTTAGAAAACCAAAATTGACCAAAAAAGGACATATCAACACGTTTYGACAAGAAAAATAGATGAACTTTGGTCCTATACATTACCGATTCAATGAATCATCGCTTAGTAATCTCATGTATATTGGATTTTATATACTTTAATTATATGGAGGARAGGAGTACAATGAATTAATATTGGCTGGGAGGGAATTTCATTTGCATTCTATAACTTTTGATGACCTTTGCCCAAGTTAAGGATTGTAACACAAATAACACAATAATGAAATTAAAAYAAGCGTTGTAACATTCAACCTTAGCTTCAGCACATGGAAAATATCGCACACGAGTGACTTGGAGGTGTGTCGAGCTAAAAATCTCACCAATTTATTTCACTAGTGTCAGATCGCACACTCTTCAAGGATTCTTCAAAAGGGACCAACTCAGGAACAGTTACATCTGTAGACATTGCTTACTGTAAAGGAACAATGATGATTTATATTATATATAAACACATGCAGTCGCACACCAGGCCATCGACTATGCAATGTTTATCACATTTTTTCAATGGTTGGTTAAGGGTAATCAGTTCTAGTACAATGAATTCAAATCATAGTTGTGTTTAAAGTTGACATGTTTCGTCTGTTTGGCTTTTGTTTGTGGTAATTAAGGGGAAAAAGTAGAAATATATTTACCTTCAAAGGTTTCCGCCTGCMGTTTGTATATTTTGCTTGTGCTTCATGGTTTCCCCTAGGGGCTGGTAACTAGTGACAAAAAATACACAGAGGGGAGGGGCTTGATTTGTTACAAAGTCAGGAAATTTGATTTTTTTTTTCAGAACAGGGAATCACACTTAATCCGGCTTCAAYCTTAGACCTGTTCGGCGTTTGTGACGCCACCAGGAGTATAATTAAACTCACACTAGTTTACCGCTAGTTCCCACCATTTGGTATAAATTAAACTCCAGCCGACATAGCTCTAGGGTCGCTGAAGGACGCAAACTGCCCCACCACGTTAGAGGTGGTGATCCCTTCGGGGCAGAAGGCCTTTCTTCACACGTCGGTCCAGGCGTATGATTCCCTTTTACATTTCCAGGTGTGCACCACTCCTCAAAGGGAGGAGCTGTTAATCTCTCAAAAATCCGTGCTACGGCATGTGGGACAAAAAGTGCTTTTCTAGGTCGTTCGCGCATGAGCACACTTTTACTTGATCCCTCACGTTTGAAAAGTTATTTGTCGTGATTAATATCCATAACTTCACGCTCTTAGAGTGTGAAGTCGGGCTAGCTATTTTGGAAAATTGAGAAAGACAGGATATTACTCCTGCTAATTTCTAGCGTTTTGACGTTGTTGCGCCAATCCGTCAGAAAAGAATATCGCGTCGCGTGAWTAAAGAAAAAACGAAAGAATTACAATGTGTATCAAATTGAGTTGGGATGTGTATCGAGTGGATTTCAAAATGAGCACTTCATTGTTTATTAGTAACTGACAAAATGAACCATAAAAATTCCGTGCATCAAAAAAAATTACATGTAAAATTCCTAAAAATTATACAGTTACTAATTAATTCTTTTTTATGGTTTTAAGAATCCAGCATATCTTACAAGCAATGCAAAGCTAGATACCAGGATTGACGAGAAAAAAAAAAATACATCGAAATATAATCCATGTAACGACATWTTGATCCAGCTACTTATGACAACCATGAGTTGTTAGTCTAACCTATGTGACAACTTGATAAGTTGTGGGCAAAGAAYATGAGTATTGGAGACCATTTGAATCCCCATAAACGGTAAAACTTTCTGCATCATCCGATTCCATTTCTCCCTCCGAATGAAACCTTCCTAACAAGTACTTTCTATAAAACATATTTCACACGCCAAAAAAGATCGTGGATTCAAGCATATACTATTCAGCAGTTCTCTTGTTTGTTTGTTTTTTTTTTTGGCTTAATGTACAGTTTTCTGACATAAATCCGCGTTGGTCGTGTGTGTTGGTGTTGGCCTGCGTAAGAGGCTATGTGAGGAGGACGCTGATCCATGTGATGGCGCCTCAGCGAGAGTTCGACAGGATTTAATTCCACTCCAGTTTGCTCACTTTTCCAATCTTTTGAATGTAATTGTCCACAATAAATCTGATAAATTTGCGAGTTGATTTTCCTCAGAATCTCTTTATGATCAGCTGTTTCGCCAGAATACAGTACCATTCGTTAAGTTATTAGTTTCACCTGTTTTTTTTTTTTATTATTGTTATCTTCTTGGTCAACCGGTGTAAACCAAGGTGTGGACAGCCATGCAGCTTTGGCTCTAACACTTGGTGAGTCTTAGGACATTGTGCAAGTTTAAGCAGATTTTATTATTTTTCTCAATTGCATGTGAAGATTGTTTTTTTATGATTATTCAGAACATTTCCGATGTGTCCACGATGACTTTCACAAACATCGTATCATCCTTTATGTAGGAGTATTTATCCAAATCAGCRAGCGAACAGAACATCGGGCAGCCGCTAGCGATATTCATTTCAGACATCGGTCGTCTGAACGACGAACTCRTGGGGTCGGGTTTGAATGCATCAATCACGTGCTCAACATGATTTTGATCGAGAAGCATCATGGTCACCTTTTGTCTGAATGGCCARCGGAGTAATGCATCGTACTCACCACGCATGACCACGAAGAACAAAGAAATGTACTGTCCTCGACCCATRCCATCACCGTTCAAATATATGCGMGCGCACATTTTGTACCCATATCGATCTGAATAAAATGGAGGGCTGAGGATTGAGACTTTTTTATTTGTCAAAGCGTCGTTTCGTTTTCGTGCGAAGTCAGTAATCTTCCACAGCAAGATTCCATCGTATGGGACCAACTGATCTTGTGATTGGGTCGAGGCTGGGAAATTCCGGGGRGGTTCACCGTTCATTTSGAGTTTATTTTTCAGAGCAATGATAGTCTTAACATCATTTTCTCTATGTTTCTCCAACTGGTCTATCTTACCACTGAGCTCGTTGATAGTTGTATTCAATTCCACGATTAACAGCCCAAGATTAGCATTGCTATTCTCTGTGTTTATCAGTCGCCTTAGCAACGCCCCAGTGTCTGAGCCCCATGATCCTCTGGTGGCTTCCTCAAGACGAGCGATCTTATTGGCCTGGTCGTTAAGTTGCTCGTTGAGACTGTCARTTTTCTTAATGAKTGATGCAGGTGACGATTGGCGCACGTAATTCAAGAGCAATTTAAGATGGAAGTCTGCGCATTTTTCATTGTGCTCCTTGAGCTGTTCTGCGGTGAGAGTCTATAAAACAAATAGATTAATGGGTTATACCTATATAGTGACAGCGAAAACTGCGCCGTCGTCTTTGCGCGCGTATCATGTGTAAACTGATGATGGATAAGGATATTTCAGTCATATACCTTTGGAACTTTACACCCAACTATTTCATATGCACAACCACCATAATTCTCTGACATCTGAAAGATAGAAACAAAACAATTTCTAAATCTAAATCCGACATAATATTTGAGAACCAGAAAACCTTAAACGGTTAAGAAAGAACCGATGAGGCTGAGAAAAAGCATTCCTACAAAKGTAGCCTCGTTTAACAGGTATCTGTGCTATCCCTTCATAAAAGAGAACAGTACGAATGCGTATGCGCCACGAAAACGCGCGTTTAAGACGCTGCCTGAGCCATAAATACAAATGAATGATTGAAAAAAGAGGTTTGCAACGAAGAAAAAGACATACCTCATTTGTCGCATGTATACAGCTCGAGATGTGTTCCTAGATGAAAACAAAATCACTTTTAGTTTATTGTGTTAACCACAGAGTACTGTATGCTTACTAAAGTGTATGGAAGGCGAATGGAATTGAAAAAAAAAAATGAAAAATGAAAATGAAAAAAGTACTGTAACAAAAATAAAWACTTACAGCTGGCAAGTATGAAAGTGAAAATGAAAGAAATGACATCATCCAGATTTCACACGACCGATTACAGCTATTTCAGCCAAAACGTTGAAAACTGCATATGTATTCCATGACCGCAATGCATTGCTGTTATTAAACTCCCATGTTAGCTGGGTTAAAATATAACACGAATCCTTAACTTAATTGCTTTCCATTTAAGTTCTTGACTGAACGGTGCTCAAATAGTCACTCTGAACGAACGAACCGCGATAGAACGACCAACAATGGATGTGCTTCTTGGAATACTCTATTTTCAGTAATCAACGTTTTTTAAAAAAGCTGTATACGACTATAAAGGAAAACCAAGCCATCGCTCACCTCAAGTTGTGGTATCAGACCTTTCCATTTGCAGTCTATTTTTGGGCAATGGACGGTAAGATTATCAACCTCGCGTTGAACACATCGATCGAAGAAAATCTAAAAAAAACACGCGCAAAACATTACGGAGGGGAAACGAAACATTTGACCGCATTTGATTGGCTACACGAGAGTCTACAGGTGTTCCAAAATTTGGACGGAGTGCAGAAATAACGCCCTTTATGGTTCATGATCTATCTATTGCGCATGTTCGCTGTTTTCTCAGCTGTGCTGACTCTTGCTTTCAGTTACTAGTAGATTTACCATACCTCTTCCTTAGTGAACCAAACATTATCTTCGATACATCTGTAGTCGCGACGATTAGGCCTGGAAAAAAAATTATGTTCATGATTTGCGTTTTGTTTTTGAATAATTTCTTCTTTGTTACTTTTGAGAATTAATTAATGTTTTACCACAGTTTCCCATTTATTTGTTTAATTTTCCCATTCACTTACTCTTTCAAATCGYCAATGCAGGAGAAACAGTAGAAATGGCCGCACAATGTTTGAACAGGATCTTTCAAGATGTGTTTACAACASGAGCAAATGTATTTGGAGTTGATCGTCTTTCGATCTTTATCTGATACAACAAAGCCAGGCATACTGATAACCAGTCCCTAGCGGCCACTCTATTAAAAACAAAAGAACAAAAGAAAATAAGAAACAAAGAACGATGAAACAATATAGGCACTCGGCCAGATTCAACTATAAAACTTCCTGGAGAAATGAKTGAAGTATGGGGCTCCTGTGTTAACAATTATGACGTATTTCACGCGTCATTGCCTCTTTCCGGAAAGCTTTTATGATCACGTGGTAAGGAAGCTCTCATAGGTGCGCCTACAAAAAGACAGTAGGGCCTTAAAACGCAACGAAATAATAATAATATAATAAGCATCTCATGATTTCCATAATGGTTTCCATTTATATTTCCAATTTCATTTTGTATTTGTGAAAGAATACGTGCACATTTCTAAATGCTCCTCGTCGAGACGTGATCGAGGGATGCCAATTCCACACGCCAACGAGAACAAAATTGAGTCACCTAATTCTTGAATGTCGTTGATAAACCGACATTCTCATTACCGTCCCGTCTAATAGTCCGATCGGCATATAGACCTTATTTACTTTATTGCAAGTCCAGACATGTTTGATGGTCGTCTTGATCGCATGCGACGAATCAGTAAACAGTAAATTCTGATAGGAATATTTCGCAACTTTTATCCTGATCATCGTTTACTGTGGCTTTATAGAATATGGAAATTAATATATACAGAATAAATGTTCTACACAAGTCGTTATTTCAAACTCCAACTGAAGCAGCCGATCTGACCGTGATTGCATAAACCTTTGGTTGGTTACTTCGTACTTAGCTTACCTCTGCTGAATCCATTCAGACAAGTTCGTTATGAAAGAGAGAACGATGGTTAGTTATCTTCTRAGCAGAAGACTATGTTTGAAGCTCCTGACCTTAAAAGTGCACTTAAATTGTCAAGCTGATGCTTCAATAGGGAAATTTCCCTTGGTTTTGGCCTGTGACGGAGACAACAATTCAACGAATTGTCAGGGGATTCCCCTAATTACGAATTCATGACCGATATCCGATAGTCAGAACATACAGCCCACTAAAACTTTGCAATTAMAGCGGCAGAAAATGAATGCTATAAAGTTAGTTGGGATACCAAAAAAATTTCAGTGAAGCTGTATTATTTTTATAACATTTAAATAAAATTATAATCAACATCTTGAAAATATTAATCATATTGTTACTCTCTAATCCATTCAGCTGTCACGCTCTGCTAATTCATTCAGCTGCGCTCTGCTAATTCATTCAGCTGCGCTCTGCTGGAACAATGCAAACACGGATATAAAGATTCTATCAAATAGAGCCTGCTTATTTCTTCTTAAAAATTATCTTTGAATTTGAACTTACAATAAACTATTTGAATAGTTAAACATTTTTAAATTTAAAAAAAAAAGTTTGCTAAGCGTACTAGGCAAACATTTGTACCTCCTATCGTGCATGCATGTGTTTAAAAAGTGAAATCCTTCAGTAAATTTTATGCTCATTTCTTTGTTGTAACTATTCAGTGTTGCAAGAACATCATATATATTGTATGCAGCAAATGAAGTTTTGCTAACTCGGGAAATTTTATAGAAAGTCGGGGGCAAAAATAAGGGGGTTCCCAATATTATATGTAATCAACGCAAGGGCACACACTCTGTGTGCATTATCAAAAGAGCTGTCATTCAAATATTTATTGTGGAGAGTGGGGGATATTATACTCCCAGGGCTACCAGACAAGATCAGTTGTAAATAGAACATTCTACAGAACGCAGGACCGTGTAGCACGGGTAATCGAGTCATTGGCCTCAGTAAAACTACCACTGAAATACCTCCTTTCAAAACAGCTTTCCCGAGGTTTGATTTCTATGTTTAAGCATTTGAATATATTTTCCGTGTTTCCATTAGAAAAATGCGGGGTCGTTGGAACACGAGTTTACATCACAATCTGATAGCTCATGAAAGCGAAATGTTTTATAAAATATTAACAACTTCTGGCAGTTTGCACATTTCAACCAATCAATGATGCGCGCGCGCGCGTTTATATGTGACATTTGTATAAATTCTCTTCAAAAGCCCCTCTTAATCGAAACTAGACAACCACTGAACATGGACAGAAACCAGTGAGCTTGAAGGGTTTCTGTACAATCCTGAGGTGCACAGGCCGCCTTTTCGTCTTTTGTCTAATTCATCATCAACAGTTATGACTGCGAGCCAATAAGATCACGTAGCGCTTGTTTTACTAATATAGTCATCAACAGCCTCTTCTAGCGTTGCCAAGGAAACTGATCCAACAGACAAAAACAGGTCATGGAAATCGCGAAGATCAAACAAACTCCCTGAAGAACAATTWAAAAAWTCACTATCAAGCGTCTATCATTATTGACGGCGTTAGCAATACAATCAGATGGGGATTTGTGTATAAACAGTTCATGAAATAACAAAAACTTTAAAAAATTCATTCAAAACTTATTTTMCATTTGTTCAAATCATTACCGAGCCTGCGGTGACAGTGGTCTGCAGTGACTCGACGCCCTTTATCAGACCGCACACCGCCGGCCATGCGATCTCTGGAATCATTTACTGATTGACCCATGCATCCATCTACAATATACGATACACTTACCTAACTTATCTTGAGCTCTTTGTCGTAGTTCTCTAATCTTAATTTCTCCAATCTTATATGCGCAAGCCTGGGAACAAGAAGTAGCATGTTTTACTGTGGATGGGCCTAATCGGGTTTCCACACGTTAAACGGACTTTTCAAGACGCATTGTGAGGCAAAGATCATTCATTCGACTATTTTCTAAAATAGTCTATATGCCCTAGTGTTAGATCAATAATTTACCTGCCCTGGCCATGTGATATACCGCGTGACTTCAGCTTCGATGTCATGTCTGGACATTGCAGTGTTTTGGACCATGAAGTCCACAGCTTGTTGTCGTGTCCACCTGCAGAGAGATCACAACCTGACGATGAATATTAAGACAYGTTAACGTCGTTACTAATACTAGAATAGCTGAATAAAACAACTTTGAAAGACAACACCCTCCATGTAACACGTTGAACATCCTCCCTACACGTTATAAGTAGTCGCGGCTGTAAAGGAACTGGGTACGCCCTCCCCGGTGTTCTACATAAGCTAGTCATACGGTACCTAACRTACTTACCCTAACGCGTGCATACCAGTGTCAACAACAAGACGACAAGCTCTCAAAATCTCATGCGACAAACGCCCAAACCTGAAGAAAATATTAGTCATCCAATATACACTATGCAGTAGTAGGGAATAATCCTTTACAAAACTGATTTGTACTTACAGATCATAAGGATCTGTGTAAAGACCCATCTCTTCACCAAG